ACCTACACTCACCTTTACTGGCTCCATCCCCGCCTCTTTGACCTGTCCTCTCCACCTATCTTCTCCTCTATTCGCCTCCCCCTCTCTCCCTATTTATTTCAGAACCCCCTTCCCCTCCCCCATTTCTGAAGAAGGGTCTAGGCCCGAAACGTTCCTGCTCCTCTGACGCTGCCTGGCCTGCTGTGTTCATCCAGCTCTACACTGTGTTATCTCTGACTCTAGCCTCGGCAGTTCCTAATATCTCCCACTGGTCAGACGTCCTCTTACCTACGAACAGTCTCCTCCAATCAACTTTTGAAAGTTTCGTCTCTTTACCATTAAAATTTGCCTCACTCCAATGAAAGGCTTTAACTTTTACGAAAGCCCTTATCCTTTTCTGTAACCGTTTTTGAAGCAAATAGAATTATGATCGCTGGCCCCAAAGTTTGTCCCCCCCACCCATTTTTACTTTGATCTGCCTCATTGCCCAAAAGCAGGACTAGTTTTGCTCCTGAGATAACAAGGTGTGGAGCTGGATGAACACAGCAGGCCAAGCAGCATCAGAGGAGCAGGAAGGCTGACGTTTCTGGCCTAGAGCCTTCTTCAGAAGTTTTGCTCCTTCTCTAGTGGGAGCATCCACATCTTAATAAAGACAAATTTTCTTGAACACATTTGGCAAATTCTTCGCCATCCGAACCTTTAACACTACGGTATTCCCAGTCAATGTTTGGAGAATTAAAATCCCCCGTTATTACAACCTTATAATGCTTACATATATCTGAGATCACCCTGCGTATTTACTTCTCAATTTCCCTCTTACTAATTGAGGGGTGGGAACTATAGCACTATCCCATCAAAAGTGATCTTTCCTTCCTTATTTGCAATTTCTACCCACATATTTTCACTGGACACACTTTCAGAAATATCTTCCCGAGTTACAGCGGTAATGTATTCCTTTATCAAAAACGCCACCACCAGCTCTAAAACCGGGAACATCGAGCTGCCAGTCCTGTTAATCTCTGAGCCAAGTTTCTGTCATAGCTATGATGTCCCTGTCCCACGTTCTTAAACATGCCCTGAGTTCATCAGCCTTCCCCCCTGCAGTGAAATAAACGCAGTTTAGTTCTTCAGAGTTACTACGTACTCTTGACTCTCTCTCGTCTTTCTTTTCTCGTTGATGGGCTCTCCTCACATTCAGAACCTCCCCCATCAATCCTTCGGTTTACCCTGCGACTTAGAATTCCTCCACTCCCCCTCTCTGTCAGTGTAAAGTCTCCCTTAATGGAATGTCCAAATCTCCCTGCCGGGTCCCTTTCCAGTTTAGGTCAGACCCATCCTTTTTGAACAGGTCTTTTCGATCCCAAAAGACGTTCCCATTGTCCAAAAACCCGAATCCCTGAACAGTACACCGGCTCTCCATTGATTTTTCTCCTTTAACCCTCTGTTCCTTTCCCTCGATGGAGTTTGGCGCTGGGGGTGAACCAGAAATGACTCCTTTCCAAGGTTCTATTTCTTTTAAAAATCTCCTACCTCAACTTCTTAAAATCCACTCCCGTGCTGCCTTTAATCTCTTCTCTCGAAAATGTCATTCCTGCCGACGTGTGCAATGATTTCTGGCATCTTGACCTCCCCTCTGACGACAGGCTCGAAAGGTCTGGGGGAACGGTCCTTAATCCTAGCACCAGGAAACCGTCCTAAATTTACGCTCACCTCCCGCCTGTGCCCCTGACACGAGAGTCCCCCTGCAACAATAATTCTATCAAATCTTGCCTCACATTTGAGTCGTTCCGAGAGTGCGATAGCTGAGAGACCGTCCCCTTCCTACAGTTCCAAAGGCGGAATTATCTATTTGAGAGAGAAATAGCCACTGGAGATTTTTGAACTACTGTCCTACCTTTCCTGACAGTCAGGCCTCTATCTTACTGATCCAGCTCCATAATAACTTCTCTAAATCCACTCACCATCTCACCCACTGGGCCCCTGAATAACACTGAGCCTAAATACTTTACGTATAAAACAAACCAGCCTCTCATTTACCTACAGACAATAATGTCAAAAAAGTCAAATATCAAACATATAAAACTGAAATAAAATCAACGACGTGGGCCGATTAACTGTAGAAAGAGAGACTCCGCTTCAATAAATTCCTCGAGGAAGCGAAAGACATTTCTTCTCCCGAGAGCAGCGGGAATTTCCCGAATTTCCTCGTTTTAAGAGGAAGTGAAGTACGGTTGGGTTTTGCAAAGGAGACCCTCGGGGCTGCAATAGAACAAGACAAATCCCTCTTAAAAACCTTCGCAACAGGGGAAATAAACCCTCGAAAACACGCGCGGACTTCCTTTCGTTAACTTTTTGAGCTCGGAGCGAGGAAAATCTCCGGCGGTTCACCGCATTCCCCCAGAAGCGGTTGTTGTTGTTGTTGTAGTGAGCGTTACCCAGCTGCTGTGTGAGTGGCGGTGATGGGGATCGGGGTGGGGAACGGTCGCTACACGAATTCGTCACCTACCCCGATACCAACACCCGCAC